GGCTCCGAGGCCGCTGCCGTGCTCTGCTTTCCGCGACTTATCTCGCACTCGCGTGAAAGCGGGGTCGGGCGGTGGAAGGTTGGCGCGGGGACCCGGCCTCCCCGAGGCTCTGTGGAGGGCTGTTTTGGGGATGACTGTCCTACATCTCTCACAGAATTAGTTTAAACTTGTGTTTTTGTTTTTGTTTTTTTATGGGAGAGCCCATCACCCGCCTAAAACCGCACTGACTTCAGTCCGAGTGTACGTGCTCAGCTAATAGATATGCCCACCCCGTTGGCGGATCCATAGAAACATCGTAGCTGTTCTGTAGGGTTATTCCTCCGTGTCGCAAACTGCTGGTTGGTAAAACATGTCTAGTCCTGGAGGAGCAGTTCACCTCGGAGGAAACTGCATGCCTGACTAATACTAAATTGGGTCAGGGAGTAATTAACCTTGGTTTTGCATTGTCTCATCGTAATTATATATCTCTGCTTGCTGACTGAGACTTTGGAATTTATTCCATGTATTCTTCAGAAATGTAAGTTGCAAAATCTTTGCAAGGAAGGCTGGGAGAACTTAAATTGACACCTAGCTAGTAAATACAACAGGTAAGAGGAGACAAATCTGTAAGAATCATTATATTGCTGTTACGTTACCAGAAATAATGTGTTAGTGGTTCTGATTTAAAAGCTGAATAAGAAATCAGAGGCACTGCACACTCATAATCGTGGGATGTACGTAAAGAGATTTTTTTGAAACTTAACATTTCAAATAGATTCTGTGGAAATCCATCACAAAAATTTGCTTGTGGAAAGGTTTGTTTGTTAATTCAAAGTCATTAAGCAACATTTTAAAACTATGGAAATAAGATCATGAACGGTTTCTCTAGGAGATCTAGTTATTTGAGTAAAACTAGCAAAAGACATTGATTATTCTGCTATAATAAAACCTTACTATATGAAGACTTTTTCATCTTTTTAGATTTTTATATGTTCCTCATCAAAAAGCACTTTGTAGAAAGAGAGCACATGGAATTCATGCAAAACTGTCTCCGTGAAGTCACAGAAACAGCCGATTTTTTAGGGGTGGTCGCTGTTTTGAATACCTAATAAGCATTTTGTCCTTCTCCTTCAGCTCAACCCAAATGTAAGCGTATTTCAGAGAAAATTTGTCAACGAAGTAAAGAAGTGTGAAGAGATGGAAAGAATACTTGGTGAGCTTTACTTTCATGTCTACTCTTTTCTGTCTGTGGCCTTATTAAAGTTTATGTGGTTGGAGTGGAACTACAGTGGAGGTTGCAGCTACAGTTGGTGGTTCTTTTTTTTTCAGTCTTCCCAGTCTTGTATGATCTGAATGCTGTAGAATCTTAAAAAACTTTAATATGTATGAAAAAATGCACATATGTATGCTCATGTATGTAGAGTCTTTATGTAGATTTTTGGAGCTGGAGATGACTGTAGCACCAAATTGGGTCAGAACATACAGATATCTTCCTTAATTTCCCTGCCCATGGCAGGGGGGTTGGAACTAGATGATCTTTGAGGTTCCTTCCAACCCAAACCATTCCCATGATTCTATGAATTTGTGTTGATATACTGCATCAGTTTTGAGTGTATCACAGGATTGTACAGATTTGAAGGGATCTCTTGAGATGACCTAGTCAAGCTTCAGCTCAAGCAGGGGCAGCTAGCATGGGTTGTCTAGCTCTGTGTCCAGTGGGATTTTAAATATGGAGACTTCACAGCCTCTCTGGGCGACCTCTTCCAGTGTTTTACCACTGATCTCTGGTTCTTGGTGCTGTAAGTAAATAATACACTTACACTACAACACGTATGGATAAATATAAGGGTTTTTTTAAGCTTAGAGGTGAAGAAGAGTTGCTGATAAATAGTTGAGACTGTTTCAGTATTGACTGCTTAAAACTCTGCTAGGAAAATGGAAGCTTTGCTCTGGATATTTCCTTGACTATAAGATCAACTCTGTTTTTAATATTGTGTAACTCAATACTGTTGAACTTTCAAGCACCCTCAAAAATGCCTCAAGTTATTCATAATTGTATTCACATGATAGTTAATGAATAGAGAAGGGTATTTAGAGCATTGCAGCCAAGATGCAGGTTTCTTCAGTGTATCCTGAGGAAAAGTTACTGTTAAGGGATTCTTTTTATTGGAATCTCTCATCAGAGGCATGTGCTAGTCATGCCAAACCATCCCAGTAGGTATTTCAGCAATCTCCCTGCCCAGCGTGAGTGGCATTTGTTGTCAAGGTTGCTTAAGCTGCCTTGTTTGAACACTTTTTATTCCAAACATCAGTCAATGAGCAGAACGTCAATTTTTGGTAGATGGCACGATTAGCAGAAAGTGGTATCTTGCAGCGACAAAGAGGTACTATGAAATGTTAAAAGCTTCTTAAAAGGTATTTGTGGTTGGAAAATTTCAGTCAGAGGACTGCGAAGATAGCTTACTTCTGCAGACTTCCAAGACAGAAATGTTCTGTGTCTTTATTCCTAGAACTCCATCAGCCCCTGTTTTTTGAAGACTCCAGTGCGTTTGGTGTTGCTAAAATAAGTGAATAAAGGGGATAGGGCCTGATGCTGCAGTGTGATCAGCACCATCAATAACAGCTGAAAGTCAACTCAGCATTCTAGAAAGTGTAAGGAAATACCATTTCCTTTCTGATTCTGCTTCTTTTCTCACTGCAGGGTATTTAGTACAAGAAATTAAGAAGGCAGATATTCCACTTCCTGAAGGAGATGTTGCTCCTCCTGCCCCCTTGCTGAAACACGTTTTAGAAATCCAGGTAACTTTTCCACACAACAGATGCTGAAAGTGTAGCTGTGGGTCTTGGAACTTTAATTCAAACTTAATTGCTTGCTCTCTTATCACCTATGATTTGAGTTATAGAGGTGTGGCAGAGAAGCTGGAAGCATTTGCTTTCGGTTTTGTCTGATTTTTTTTTTTTTTTCTTTCTGCCGATGTTACTTCAAAGACTGCCAGTGAGGATTTGATACTAACACCAAATTTTTGTGAAAGGGTCAAAGCTGACTCGCAGGGTTAGCAGTCACCTGTTGTGTTTTGATGGATTGGCATATTACACTGTTATCTGTAGTCCTTTAGCCTCATTTGTCGTGTTGAGACTTACCTAAGGCTCTTATCCTGCACCAAAAATTTCCAGGGTGTGTGGGAGTTCTGTATGCCCAAGGCTCATGCAGGTTCCAGTGCTGGTTGCGTCGCAAAACATGGTGCTGTTTACTCTGAATGCTTTTTCTAGGGTTGTGTTAGAGGTAGAAGCTTGTGAAACGCAGACATAATTTTCAATGGCGATCTGGTTTGCTGTAATTCTGTTAATAGAATAGAGAAGTGTCTCGCACCCTGTACTCTCTGAAGTTCTAATTCCAAGACCCACACTAGGGTCAGAACAGCAGACTTAACAGATGCCAGTGGAGGATCAAGTGTACTCAGTACAAAGCAATCTTTGTCAGACCGAGGAATAAAACCTGTGGGGCTTAAGTTCATTAAGAAATTGGGAAACTCCCATCATTGCAGCAAATTCACATGTGCTTAAAATTCATCCTCCCCTGCTTTCCAAAACAGTCTAACTGATTCAGTGTCACTTTTTCTCCGCGTCTTAGGAACAATTGCAGAAGCTGGAGACAGAATTGAGAGAAGTAACTAAAAACAAAGAGAAGCTGAGGAAAAATCTGCTTGAGCTGACAGAATACACGTTCATGTTAGATGTCACGCAGCGATTTGTCAGGAGAACAGCTGAGGTACTGCTTGCGTTGTTTGGCGAGGACTGTGTGTCATGTGGCGTTTTTATGGCTTGCTGTTTGTAGCTCTGGTGGAGTGTGTGACTTGGTGTTGGGCTTTACAGCCCTGCACGTTGTTATTTGTGCACAGTGCCCAGAGAACCTGGCTGGCAGCCTCTTGTGCTGGGTAGCACAAGGCAGTCCTGACCTTGGAAGAGCTTTGTCATTTCTCTGTTGAATTGTTTCGATGTTACTGCTGATGCCAACTGAAAAATGAGGCCTGTTTGTGTGATTTTGGTGTGTAAATTGTGCTGAGAAATGGACCATGCAATATTTGCAACGCTGACTGTAGTTGCTAAGAGCAGCAAACTTGAGATCCCAGGATCTTTCTGTTGTCTAAGTTGAAGGCAGGAAAGGATTTTATATTTCACTCGAAATAGTTTGCTTAATTAGCTTTTCTGCTTTAGAGTAATAACTGAATGAAAATATTTTTTTTTCCTAAAAGCTGTGAATGATCTTTTTTTTTTATTTGCTAGTACGACTCCCATTTACATGCAAATTACGAAGAATTTCCATCTGTGGAAAATGAGCCATTAGTGGATTACAACTGTATGCACCGACTGGGTGCCAAGCTGGGGTAGGTACGGTTCGGTCCACGTGTGGCAGGTTGTCAGTGTCTGCTGTTTCAAAACTGCTTGGTGAGCTGCTGTCAATAATGGACTGTTGTTGTAAAAGATGGAATGTTGTGTGACTCTAGTGATGTCAGGTGAGCCAAAGAGTTCTGGACAGAGTAGGAGTCTGGCCCAAATGTACTTTTAGAACAAAACTGAATTATTTGAAGAGATAAATAGGACAGCACCAAAAAAACTGTCACAAAACTCCCATCAAACCAAATATGTGTGTTAAGGAAAGTCTCTACATGCTCTAAATCAGTACTTTGTGCTGTTCAGACTCCGTTTTTCTAGGATAAACACACAGCTTTTCAGTCACCTGGCAGTGTCAATTGTAAATGTAACATTATTAATGGTGTTGCTTACTTGCCTTTAAAATGGTGTATGGATACTGCTCTCCGCAACACCGTTATCAGAGGGTATCTTACCAAGACAAAAATTAAGAACCTTACTGCCACATAAAGAAATGATGTCAAATATAATTCTAGTTGTATGCCGAGTCTGTTTTCCATACAGAAACTGAGTCTATTTTATATACCAGTTCCTTCCTGTTTAGGGTGATGCTTCCTTCTCCAGAGATGGCAGATGTGAAATTGTTGTGACTGTGTGATCCTGAGTGATGGTGTGCTCTGAGTTTAATGTTTCTTGTGGATTTTAGCTTATTTTTCAAATTTTTCCTTTTCCGTAGATTCGTATCTGGGTTAGTTCACATAGCAAAAGTTGAAGCGTTTGAAAAAATGCTGTGGAGGGTCTGCAAAGGCTACACTATTCTTACGTATGCCGAGTTGGATGAGTGTCTGGAAGACCCAGATACAGTGAGTAAACGTTGTAACTATCAGTTTATTTTGTTTGTACTTTTCACAAAACTTGGCAGAATTGCTGCTCAGGTGTGCCTGCCATCAATGTGAGTGATTTCCCAGTGCCCTTGGAGGCAAACTATTTTAAATTATTAGAACTTAAAATTAGAGGTCTTGATGCCACCATAACTACAGGAGTGGCAATTAATTTGTCATGGTTCAGCGTGATGAGTGCAGAACTTTATCGTGGAATAGCAGTGGCTTTATGTTTGTCTCTTGGTCAGAATACGTGGCATAAATGACTGCTTCGATATTTATTAACTAGGTCTGTACAGTGCATAACTTTTTAGTAGTAATCTTATTTGTTCATTAAGTAGTTAAGGAGAAAAAGTTTGGAATACAGTTGGTCTTCTATGAAGTTTTTTCTCTGAACTAATAAAATTTGCTTTTGTAAATCAGCAATTATGGCTGCCTAATCTGTCACTTTTAAATTTTGCTTTGATTCTAATTTGTAATATTTTAATTTTTTAAGACTTTTTTTTTTGTTACTAATAATACTGAGCTGGTAAAATACAATACCTCCTTTATTTTCCCTGAAAACTTTCTGTATTTCTTTAATATGCCAAAAAAAAAAGAGAGATATTGACACACTTGGATTTTGTTTTTTGATCTTCACTAAAGTGGTGGAAGGTTAATGCTAGTAACACAGCTTTTTCTCATTATTCAAATTTGTTATTTTGCTCTCTAATTATATCATAGTGGGGTTATTGGCTAAAAACAAACTTCTTCATCTTTTTTTTTTTTTAGGGCGAAATCACAAAGTGGTATGTTTTTTTAGTGTCCTATTGGGGTGAACAGATTGGCCAGAAAGTTAAGAAGATTTGTGATTGGTAAGAAGTAAAACCAATATATACAATTTCTTTATACCTGGGTTATCTTCCTGTTAGCTTTTCCACTGCCTCCCTTCCTTGTAAGTGTTGATTTTCAGGCAGAGTTGTTGAAGTTAAAATTTTTTCCTTCCCCTCATAGCATCTGGCTTTGTAATTATGCAATATACAAATAAATGTTTGAGTCATTTTATCCTCAGTCCTTGTTAAGTACAGGCAAAGTACTGACTCTATCCATTGAATCTGTTTTGTGGTTATTAAATGGCATGTTGCAGATTTGACGAAGGTAGGGGGTTTGGGTGATTTATTTTTTTTCAGTTGTTTAACAAAACCTTCTGTTTTTCTGTAGCTATCACTGTCATGTGTATCCCTATCCAAACACCACGGAGGAGCGCAAGACAGTTGTTGAGGGACTAAATGTTCGTATTCAGGATCTTCACACTGTGAGTAAATACCAGTGTGCCCTTTGCTTTAGTTATTGCACCTAGGACATTTGATGAATCACAGTGTTAAATGCATGAATATCTTTCTAAAATACAGTCGTGTTCAGGTTCAAAGTTGTATGTCCTGTCCCTGGTCTCGTCTTGCATGTGTCTATTAAGCTTCAGGGCACTTGGCATTGATTTCCGTTTGAAGCAGTGGTTAGTGTGACCTCCTACAACTGTGATCCAGCATCAGACAACTCCTAGTAGCTCTTACTGTGGGTAACATGACCACTGTTACGTTTTCAGTGAAATATTTGTGTTTTTTTCTTGGACAAAGGTGCTGCATAAAACTGAGGATTACTTACGCCAAGTCCTGTGTAAAGCATCCGAATCCATCTATACGTGGGTTATCCAAGTGAAGAAGATGAAAGCCATTTATCATGTACTCAATCTGTGCAGTTTTGATGTCACAAATAAGTGTTTAATTGCTGAGGTTTGGTGTCCGGTGGCTGATCTGCAGAACTTGCGCCATGCCTTGGAGGAAGGTTCAGTAAGTCAGCTCAGTGCTCACTGATGTAAAAACTTTTGTCTCAAACTCACTGTACAGATAAGGAAAGAAAATAGCTACTTAAAATAGGCTAAAAGTAGACACAGGTAGGTCTGGGTCTCTGTGAACTCATATGAAAAAATTTATTATCAGAGCCTTTATTTAGTGTTGTGTGTGTTTGGTTTTTTGTCTGTTGTTTGTTTTGGGTTTTTTTGTTGTTGTTTTTTTTTTTCTTGAATAAGAACTTCTGTGTTGGACCCAAGTCTGACTGGGTTACCATGCTATTTCTAGTCAAGTAGATGTTAACTCCCTTACGTTAGTTGTGTTGAGTAAAGCTCCGTCTTCTTGTTTTACAGGAGGGAATTTTTACTGACAAATCTTTGGTTTATAATATTGACTGATGATTCTCATTTTTTATTTCATCTAAAGTAAGAATTAGAATGCTACGTAATTAGGGTTTTTAGAGGAACAGATTGATGTAATTCATTGTCTTTTTTTTAAAGAAGGCACAAAGGGATAAATATTAAACATGAGGCTTAATCTAGGGATGTTTCTGCTGATAGAGAAAATATTTTCACCATTATTAGGTTAAGTATCAACTGAGTTTTTATATAAATGTATCTCCTTTCTGCCTGCAATTAGAGGAAGAGTGGAGCTACAATTTCTTCATTCATGAATACCATCCCAACAACACAACCTCCTCCAACTTTGATACGTACCAATAAATTCACCTCAGGGTTCCAAAACATCGTTGATGCTTATGGAGTTGGAAACTATGGGGAAGTTAATCCAGGTTGGTCCTTCTGAAATCCGAACTGAGCTGTGCTGTCATTACTGCTTGTCGTCTTACATGCTTAAAGACCTTGCTGAATTGGACACTAGTAAAGGCAAAATGGTGACAACCATACTGCTTCTTAGAAGCTGTTTTAAAATTTCAGTAACTCTTCAAAAGTACAAATGGTCGTTCAAGCAGTAAGATGAGATTAGATTTTGCTGTGTGATTTTACTGGTAAAGATACTGGTAATAGCTGTATAATGTTTCTTTATGTGCTTTACCTTGGATAAGAGAAGATATTTAGGGGAAAAAAAGAAAACTTTGGTAATGGCTATTGATCTTACTGAAGTGTGGAGCTTGTTGCTTGAAAAACCCAGCTTGTTGTACAGCCCAGTTAGTTTAATGTCCTTACATATTTTTGCAGCTACGTCATCTATGTCATGCTGTACAGGAGAATGTACGTTATCGTATAGAGCCAAAATAGCCACGGAGAACTGTTCTTTGCTGTGTAGTGGTGTTTGTTTTTTTGTTGTTTTTTTTTTTTCCCCCTGAGCTCCTATTATTATCCTCAGAATTGTTGGCTAATGCTCAACTGCAGAGTTGTCATTACTAAGGGATATACATAAGCAAGCTTTAAAATAAGTTAAATTTATAGTGTGGAGGAAAGATCTGTTAGCAGGGGGTGAAATATCTTTCAAACTTAAAGCTGAAAATTGTTCGAGAGGCTAAAGTTGGTCAGTTGCTTAGGCATAATTCAGGCAGCAACATCATTTCCTGTGCTGTGTGCATGAAATCTGTTATGTTGTCATTCCAGCTCTCTACACCATCATCACTTTTCCCTTCTTGTTTGCGGTTATGTTTGGAGACTTTGGGCATGGTCTGCTAATGTTCATATTTGCACTCCTGACAATACTGTATGAAAACCACCCCAGACTACGAAGATCACAAGATGAGGTAAAAAGATTTACAAATAATTTACTCCCCATCCAGCAAGATAACTTCAATTGAACAGTTACTATGTTTCTGAAAAGTACTATTTATTGCACATGTATTAGATGGGATTTTTTCTCCTTTGTTTTAGGATTTTCTGTTTTTGAAGTTGCCATATTCCTCAAGATTAATGTGATAACTTAACAAACTATTCATTTTTTCTAAAAGGGCAGAACTAATCAAGTTGGAATGAAAGTTGAGAAAAGTTAGTTGATACTGTTGGGCTTGTCTTTCCTTCTGCTATGCCTACTTAGCGATGTGTGTCTTACAGAATGTGGTTACAGTGATTAACATGGGGACAAAATGATTTTTCAAATTCCGTTTTCTTTTATTGTTTCTGAAAAGGAATTGTAGTTTGAAATTTATTAAACTTAATTTTAACTCATTTTTTTAATGATACGCGGTTTGAATGCAGGAACACGTGAATCTCTCATTAGAGTTATGTTTAATTAAGAATGACTGCAAATTATTAACTTCTTGAAAAGTAGTCCTGGGAAGGAAATGTGGTTTGAAAAGACTATTTGTTAGTGTAACAATGCCAATGAGAAGTCTTGGTTTGTGTCCTGGGAGCTTGCACTTGCGTAGGGACTTGAAATCTCTGCAGTCTCTTCAGTCTAAACAAAATTGTCTTTCAGAATAGACTGCTTGCTGCTAGCTCTGTTTCCTGATGCATATAAGCCTTCACGTGACATGAAGCTGTGAATGTGGGGAGATGAACTCCACCCATTTGGTGACTGCCTTTCATAAATTGCATATTCACATGCTTAAAGCAAAATTTCTTGTGTTACATCTTGGCTGGCTGCAGGTTTCTTCGTATTCCTTAATGGCTAGTCACAAGAATTTTGTTTTTTTAGAAGTCTTGGTATGGCCAAAAATGTGTTTCTCTTAGAAATGTGATAGTGGATTGTTCACATAACAGATGATGTTCTCTATTTTTTCTTTTTTCTAATTCTTACAGATAATGAAAATGTTATTTGAAGGCCGGTATGTTATTTTATTAATGGGTCTGTTTTCTATATACACTGGATTGATCTACAATGACTGTTTTTCAAAGTCAATAAATATATTTGGTTCTGGATGGAATGTTTCAGCAATGTTTGAACAGAAGGTTTGGCGGTGAGTAACATGCCTCTGTTTGCTATACCATTAAAAAAAAAATATTTCCTGCAGCAGTTTAACCCTTTTGTTCACCCATTTTAACCATCCTTTTATTGAGAGTAGTAAGTATATGTAGTGAAATCTGGCAAAATCGACTTATTAAGGTAGTAAGTGTTAGTGTAATAAGGGCTAAGTGCTACATCTATGCTTAAAATAAAAAAGGCAGTAATAGTTACTTAAAAACAAAAAAATCAAATTGCTTATTGTCTTACATTGGGAAATCCACAAAGAGCACAATGTCTTGCAAAACCAAAAGTAGAATTTGATAATATTTAATTAAGTCAATCTGTCAGGTTAATCTTGTATTTATCAGTGCTGCTTTACTGGATTAACATATCCTCAGTCACCTGGAACATTTTCTAGATTATCATTTGGTATAGATGACAATCAGTCTTCTCCTGGAACAAATCCTGTTGCTATACCATAGTGCTATGTGCTAGCTAATAACTTCTAGTGATTAATAACTGCAGCTGGCATAGTATCTTTTTATTGGTAGTAAGAACTTGCACCTAGTTTTATAAGGTAATATTTCTAGAGTTTATTCAGTCTTTAAACTTTCTTAAGTGTGTTTTGCATCTCTTTTTGTGGTCTCACAAAGGTGTTCTTATGAATGACTGGAGACTTCAGTAGTGTTGTAAAATCCTGACAGAAAGGGCTAGCACTTTGTCTTGTTGTGTATTCTTTTTATTCATAAAAAGCACACTGCTTCCCGTGTTATGATTTATCTTTATGCTTGTGGTTTTAATTTGTCTCCAATTACTATATTTTCCAGGAGAAGTTTCTGAATATACATATATATATCTATCAGATTTTGAGAGGAATAGAAAACACAGGGCTAGTTCTGGAGAAGTTTGTCCTAGGTCATGCTTCTGGAATGAATAGCCAAGCAGCATTAGCATCTACTGTAAAGAAATTAACAGTTAATAAAATAAACGAGTTACCTAGAAATCATTAATCTTTCCACAGCTGTTCTTGATGGTAAAATAAAAAATAAAATAGGTTATATGAATTGGCATACTAGTTTTTTGCACAGTGGGATAACCTCCTTGTTTTGAGGTGTGGTGGCCCTTTGGTATTTAAATGTTCCCAGCTTGCATCTCATTGTGCCTCAGGAACAGGAAGCAGCTTAAAATAGTGGAGTCAAAACCATTGACTGGTTAAAATGCGAGCAGGTTGTGAGTGCTGTGTTAATTAAAAACTTTGTGAGGTTAGAGTGGAAACTCATCCAAATGCAAAAGGGAAAAAAAGATACCAATTATTTTTTGAATGTTTGTTAGTGAGTTTTATATAAAAGCAAATTGTGAGCTTTTAAAATGAAACTTTCCATTCTAAGGGAGTGAGGAATAAAGTCCAGAAACTTTCCTTTCAAAGACAGTTAGTGTATAAGCCCAGATTGTGAGTTTTTGTCACTTTTTTTGCTGTTGTTTTTATTAGCCAGGCCTTTTGTGCTTAGAAATCATTTTAGTCTTCTTTTAAAAAGACTGACAGTGGGTGAGCTCGTCATATAAAGGAAAGCAGGAGCAGTGTCCTGCAGAACTGAAAGTGTGTGTTGTTGCTGTGTTTAAACAATGTCAGATCTGATTTGTATTTTTCTTTCTCTGCAGTCTTGTGGATCTGAAATCTAATAAGTTTTTAACACTGGATCCAAATGTTACTGGTGTATACAATGGAGCTTATCCATTTGGAATTGATCCGGTTAGTTTTACGCTTTTAAATTACCCCTTTGTGATAATCAGTCATTTGTAAATTAAATTTCGGTATGTGTACTAGGAAGATAAACATACTATGGAAAAAAATACGTTTCTTCTTACATTCTCCATTCAAAAAGAGTTTTTCCCTTAATGAGTCAAAGATTTAACTATTTTCATGAAACTCAAATTTCGGTTATGATCCCTGTTTGAGGTAGAATTCTAGTCTCCCATAGGGAAAGGATACCGGTTTATTTCTTCTATCACACTATTCTTTAATGCTGATTTTGTCTTCTCTTCTTCAGATCTGGAATTTGGCAAGCAACCGTCTCAGTTTTTTAAATTCTTTCAAAATGAAAATGTCTGTGATTTTTGGAGTAACTCACATGACGTTTGGAGTCGTGTTGGGGGTATTTAACCACTTGTAAGTACAAGAAGTTAAAACATTATACTTTTTGTCAAGTCTTGAATTACAACAGTTAATCTGGCGAGGGAAACCGGAACAATTTTTTAAAAACAGAGTAATAGTAATTGTCAAAATTACTGTGTAATTTTTCTTAAGAAAAGACAGTAACAGAGAGGTCTTCCATCACATGTATAAGACGATGGATCAGCCTTATGCCAAAAAATCTGAAGACATTAATTAATACAAGATTTTATTTCACTTGTTGCTAAATAGAAATACATGCCTCTTATGGTCTTGATTTCCACTGAAATAACTGATTGAAACTTCACTGAATATGAAGAAATCAGTTCTGGATTCTAGTTTTAGTCTTGCTCTTTAAAAGTGCTGGGTACTGTTCTGTTTTATTGAAAACATGTTTGGGCCATGTATTTATCTTGATCTATCTTTATAAAACTAATTTTTCATTTTTTTCCGATTTTTATCTTTTAGACATTTCAAGAAGAAGTATAATATTTATTTGGTTTTTCTTCCTGAGCTTTTATTCATGATGTGCATCTTTGGCTACCTTGTGTTTATGATCTTCTTTAAATGGTTAGCGTACTCTGCAGAGGACTCTACCTCTGCTCCTAGTATCCTGATTCAGTTTATTAACATGTTCCTGTTTCCTGGTGGTGAAACAGATGTCTTCTACACCGGGCAGGTTAGTAGTGTTCTTACAAGCTTCTGAAGATCCTGTTGTGCCCCGTGCAGATAATGCTTTACCAGTCAGGAAAGGCTGATGGCTGAGTGATCCCCTAGGAAGGAGAATGTGTCAGACTAGAAGGAAATTGAATAAACATTATGATTAAATAGCCTATTTACTCTTGAAGTGGTTGTAAGATGATGTAGTGACTTGTGAAAATACCTGTTTGTAGAAAAAAAAAATCTCCCAGGTTAACATTAAGGGTAGAGAACAGAGTCTCATGCTTGTAATTTTGGCGCTTTTCTATGTGTTGTAAATAATGTTACTGAGTTATCAGCAATGCCATAATCTAGAACTCAGTCCTGAAGATGCTGGATGTCTGTAACCCAATTTAAGGGCCTGATTAAGTAGACTACTTAATGTGCACGTTCAATTTGGAGTACCTGCCCACTGACATTAGTAGTACTTTTCTTATGCTTAAACAAGCCTTCAAAGGAAAATGGGAGGGCTTTTCCTCCTTTTGATTTTGTGATCTAATCTCATTTTCTTTCTTTCCCTCCCAAACAGATTGCTCTACAGAGGTTTTTACTTAGTATTGCTTTTCTTTCTGTTCCTGTAATGCTTTTTGGGAAACCACTGTATTTGTATTGGTTGCACGGTGGAGGCCGAGGCATTAGAATGTACAGGGTAAGTACTGAGAGACACTTACACATCTTCAGTGTAGAATTCTGCTGTGGTGTGTTGCATATAGAGTAATGTCCTTGCTAAGTATTTCTACTCAACTGGGAAAGTTTTTGACTGTAACACAAGTGCTTTGTTCCTCTAGCTCTCTTTTTGCCTTTGCCTGCGACGACTTTAAGTAAAATTTAAAAATTAACACTGGCAGTCCTCTTAAAGATGTTATATGATTCCATTTTGCAGAGTGGCTACAAGCTAATTCGAAAAGAAAGCGAAGAGGAACTCTCTCTGCTGAGATGTCATGATGTGGAAGAAGGAAGCAGTCATTCAGACAGTGGGCACAGAGAGAGCGATGGAGAGGAGGTAAGATTTTTACTTAATCTCTAGTTTGTGCATCCTTAAGGGCAAATTAGAAGTGGAAAATCAAGAAGATAACCCGTACACTGAGTCCCTGGAAGTTAAATCAGCTGAACCTTTGCAGAGATCTTGATGCCTGAATGCAATTTACTTATTTTTATTTTTTGTCATTTTATCATTATTTCTTGGTATATTCAAATTGCTGCACAATCTGTCTGTAGTGGGGAACAGGAAGAGTGCTTTATTTGTATAAGTCCACCCTAAGTGGGATAGACATCTTGGGTTTTGTGTGGTTTTATGGATTCTTAACATTAAGGCAAGGGGACGGCTGCCCAGCGTCCTGTTAATTAGCTTTGGCTTTTCATGCAGACAAAAGTCTTTTTATGCCTGCAAATTACATCTTGTGATGAGGATTATTGCTAATGGGGGTTGGGAGACATGAGCTGCATTCCTGGTCCCCAGCTATTGCTGCTGTTTAGTTTGGCTACATTTTTAAAGGTCTTGACTGATTCCAGTGATTTCATGTGAATTGAAAGACAAAAATTGCTTCAGTTTCCCAGTGTGCAGACTGTGTATAGTATTTGCTTCACTGAAGTAGTAGACTCTTGCTTCTTATGTATAGAAAATGCAAGAATTGTTTACTTAAATAAAATGTGTCATAGTTCCCTGCAAAGTAAATTTTGAAACTTGCAGTACTATTAGTCTTGGCACTCTTTGTTACCAAAAAGTACTTACATTTACAGTTCAGAGTGTTAACATTAGTTATTTTTTATCACTAGCACTACTAATAATTATTCCTGGTTTTAAAGACACAAAAATTGACATTGTAAACTTACAACATCGATAGAATGGGAATTAGAACCCTGACTGGTTTTACTACTTAAGAGTTTTCAAGTATTAGACCATATTTCTTGTGGAAAACGTAAATTGCATTAACTTCTATCTATCAACAAAGTAATTGGGAACACTAACTGGAAAACTATAACATCTGGGAGTTTTTATTGTTGTCTCTGTAATAAGAATCTCAAACATAGCAGACCTTTTTTTTACTTGATATGAAATCAACGTGTTACCCTTTAATGGAATTTTTCTTCCATGTATATTAAGATTTGCAGATGAATGTTTTTGTTCTCCTGCTGTACTATGTTATTTAAATGGATACAAATGACTTTTTGTATTTTAGCTTAATTTTGCAGATGTCTTTATGAATCAAGCAATTCACACCATTGAATACTGTCTGGGATGTATTTCTAATACAGCGTCGTACCTGAGACTCTGGGCGTTAAGTCTTGCTCATGCGCGTAAGTGGTTCGGGGGTTTTTTTGTTGGTTGTTTTTTTATCTATCTTGATTTTTTTAATGCTGGTTAGAGGTGACTGGCCTGTTGAAGTGATACTACTATGAAATCATCTTTTTCTTAATTAAAAAAAAAAAATCCCTATTTAAATTAATCATGATCTATGGAAAGCCCCTGAACTAAAATTGTGACTTATTGTTTGGAACCTAGTAATCCTCTTCATGGATTGCTCTGTGTTGTGAAGAGACACAGCATTGTCTCAGTGTATCAGTAGTCACAGTACCATTGATTGACCACTTTGGAAGGTATTTAGGCCTTACTAATGGTGACATGGTGTAAAGTGTTGCCACCAGTATCTTCTTCTGAAACTGAGATGTACCTTTAAGTGTTTTAGGGGAGGAAGAGGGGGGTAGCTAACTGGGAGGAGGAGTTGCCATGCTCAGCAGATCCTGTCATGCTGTTTGAACTAGAGTACAGGTCAGTTAGAGTGGCTCACTGGGCGAATGTATGCAGTATCAACATTAATTATGAAAACTTTGTTTTAATAGAGTTATCAGAAGTTCTGTGGCAAATGGTGATGAGAGTGGGTCTTCGTGTGGATACAACTTACGGTGTCTTACTGCTAGTCCCTGTTCTAGCCTTTTTTGCTGTGCTAACAGTTTTTATTCTTTTGGTCATGGAGGGGCTTTCTGCTTTTCTCCATGCTATACGACTTCACTGGTAAGTTCATTTTTTCTTTATACCACTTGAACATATACTGGCTTGTTTGAAAGGAATTTTTGTGTCAAAATATTAGGTGCTTTAGTGAAAAAGAAAAGTGTAAAATTCAACAACCTCGTGCTATTGTAATAGATTTATTTAATCCTATTAAATGAATGGCTTGCTACTTGAATGTGATTGTTCCTCTGGAATATTTTCAGTAAATTCAAATATTATATTGGCTTATGATGCCTATTAACCTCTACCACATTCAGAGTTGATTTTGGTGCAAACTATGAGTACGTTTAATTTGTAGTATTGCAGCTTTTCATACTGTAGAGTATTAGTAACATGGGTAAGTGTTTTTAATTTCAGTCTGTTTGTATCACTGCATGGCTTCGGTCTGTTTTATTTAGTTAGTTCAACAGAACATTTATATTAGCAAAACTTTTGCTAAAGTGGGGCTGCCAACCTTTAAGTATTTAATCCTTTCTTAGTCTTAGTATCACCAGCTCTGCACGTTGGAGTGGATTCAGAGAATGCTTTGTTTCAAACCTGATGAAATTTTCAGTATAAGGCAGATATGTAGTATATAAACACGAGGCAGAGCTATATGCATTACAGAGTATTGTCCTCATAACATTGTATGTTTGCAAAACAATTAACTGCAACTAACTTGGAAGCAAATTAGCAAGGCAGAAGTGAGAAATGAGCCATTACAGCACAATGTCAGTGTGTTTGAGTCTTTTGAGAAACACTGAATTTGGGTCTGAGACAGGAAGGTGAAATAGCTGGCACAGAAAGCATAAGTGACAGGATTAGGATTGGTTTTGTTCAGACCCTTGTGTTGCACAGTTGTGTCCCTTCACAACGGGTCATTTTGGATTAATAGATTTTTTTTTTTGTCTCGTTTCAGGGTGGAGTTTCAGAACAAATTTTACTCTGGTGGAGGATACAAGTTTACGCCTTTCTCTTTTAAGCACGTTTCTTTACATTTTAATAAAGATGATATGGCATAGTTTGGTTGCTGTCAGCAGAAGAGTTATCTGCAAATAATCATGTGGTTGGATCTCACCTACGAATGGCTTCTTGTAGGACAAAGTGTTCTTCACTGATTGCCTTATAATGCAGCCAAATAATTCTGTAATATATACCTCCCATAGAAATACATAGCAGATCTGGAGCATCTTGTAAAGTATATAGATACAAAATGTACATTTTTCTTGATAAACTAATGTTGTAAATTAATTTTATTCTTTAAAAAAAAAAAAAGTTGTTACTGCTTGTCCTAAAACTATTGTAGGCATTTTTTTTTGTTGAGGCTGTTTATTTTCTTGACTGGTTACTTTTAAGTCATCTGAAAGACTTTTGATCACTAACCACATACTTAAGCAAGCTGACATCTCATGCCCTTTGGGAGC